CCTCCTCAACACGTCTTGAAGTTCTCCAGAGGCCTGGTAATGAACTAATCATTTGATTCAGGTGTGTTGATCCAGGGTGATATCTAAAACCTGCAGGACACCGGCCCTTGAGGCCTGGAGTTGCCCAACCCTGATGTACAGGGTAGCTATGAGCTAAAAGTTACTGTTTTTGTATTTATTTTACTTTAGATAAAAAGTGAGCATCATGAAAAAAATAAAAAAGATTTCCGACCATAAACTCATCAGCAAAGGTGGCCTCAGTCTCACAGACCAGCTGGCGATCATCTGATAGAGAAAAATGTACAGAAACCAGTCACAAACAAAGTGAAAAAAACCCCCCCTCCTTGTGATTGCTTTGGCTGCTAGCAGATTGCTTGTAGGCGATGCTGGCTGGTCTGCAAACACCTACTAACCACTAGCTGGGTGGTAGCAAAACTTCAATAAGCGCGATGCAAACTTGAAATAGAGAATATTCACCTTCAAGTAAAAGTTGTGCCTTAGTAATATAGGCGTTTTAAAAGGGTCAACTTTTACTTTGAAAGCAAATGGTCTCCATTTCCAGTTTGTATAACGCTTTTTACAGTTTTACTACCACTTGCTTGCAAGACAAACTAGCGTCTTTCATGGAAGCTCACTGCGGAAACCTGCTACAGACAAGAGCAATCGCAAGGAGGTTTTGCAATTTTCACCATGTGATTGCCAGGAACCTCTGGCAACCACTCCCCAAATGGTCTTTTCTTTGGATACTGATGGTTAGCCACGCAAATATAAAGAATGGTTTTTGTGACTGGAGCCTTACTAAGGTCATGAATACAGTGATCAGTGGCCCAGAACAAAATATATTGGATTTAGAAATAAAGCTTCTTTTGTGTTAATCTTAGCAAGCTAATGTGCTATTGTGATATTAGTATATTAAAAACAATAATTTAATAGATAATGATTCAGTTTGTAAAGCTATCAAAATCAAGGAGCAATGTGCTCCTAATCCCTGCACCGCCGGCTGCTGCCGTGGAGCCTGGGGAGACCGTGGTGTTGTGGGGATAGAGTGGGACAGGTGCCTGGGTGCTGGATGGTACAACTTTGAGACAGAAATAGTGACACAATGAGTCAGAGGGTGAAAAGAAGGAGGGATAATTCCACTCCTATTTTCAGGAAGTGTGACGCTCTTCTTCTCCATGTGATTCTCATGAGGCAGGCCTGCATCTGTGCTGCACTATTACACGCAGCCCCTGCAACAGTGTGCAACTGCACAAAGCTCTTTTTAAAGACCAAGAACAATAAAAGCGTCAGTGGTGAGATCAATGACATGCAGCTATGTATTGCACTTTGAGCATAACAACCACAGTTATTCGCATACAGGATGGAAGGACTGTTAAATTTTGGGTCGATATGTGTGTTTTTCTTTTGTTCTTGTTCATTCGACTCCTGATATTGACAAACACCATCTTATATGCTAGAAGGCCACCAGCAGTTAACAAGTACTTAAATACATCATTTAGCATCATCTTTAAACAGTTAATTAAATACAATCATTTAACCCTCCAAAGACAGCGTGCTTTCTGTTAGCAACTCTATCACCACAGTTTATTTTCATTCACCTCGACTTTTAATGCCCCATTATGTAATTTTAAACAGCCCAACTGTTGGGCTTCTCGGCTCAGGTCTTATATTCCCTGTGCCGAGCTTCTCGCGCCTGTTTTAGAAGGAACATCCTGACTGGACAGCGCCGACTGGAATGACAGATTAGCGGCTCTGCAGAGTGGGAGTGGTGAAGCTTTATTGAGACATTAAATGAAGTACTGACTGTCTGTGCTCATGTATGACTTTATGATGAGTGAGTCACTGTATGTGACTATTCACACAGCGCAAATATGTGAGCATTTCTGAAAGAGAGATATACTGATCCCCGGCTTTGGTGACTACAGTATCTGATGACGACTTTGTGACACCTGACTACAGCAGCTTGTAGGGGCCAAAGTGAAGCAATGCAAGGGCAGACAAGGGTGTTCCTGGCCTCAACTTTAGTAAAGAAATCAATTTAAAACAACTATAACGTTCTGAAACAACTTTCGCAATAAGTTTGATTAAGTGTCATGCCTATATCTGTAAGGAGAGCAAGCAAAATGTAAGCTAACCTAAATCCTTACTCGGGCACCGCACGGTGCTGTTAATGCAGATGATTTGTATTTGCATTTTCAATCACTGCGTTTACTTTGGATGCAGAAGAGAATGTGATTCTTTGGAGTATGTCCAAGTTACTCTGTCAGTGCTGTCACCGTGTTCCTCTGGAGGGCACAGAGAATAAGCAGCAGGCAGGACAGTTTCCATCAGCTGGAGTCAGCCCTGACATTTCCACTTACACAACCAAAAATTCTGCACTGCACCACAGAAGCATATAGTACACACCTAAAAGTCAAACCTGAGAATGCATTCAGTTAGCAGTGACCCCATTATAGTTGTCTGGCTCAAATCATGATAATAATAAATAAAGACTATTAAAAAATATTTAAAATTTCCATTTGTTGTTCGTTATCATTTCAGTTTCCAGCAAGATGTGCAAAAACCCACATGCTTAAAGACACAGGCGAAATATACCTACAGCCATCTAAATGTATTGGATCAGCTGGTCCATTTCAAACATAACGCTTGCTTGAATTACACACCCATCAAGCGGTTTTACAAAACTTAGACATTTTGACAAAATCCCAGCTTCAACCCTCCACCGTACCTGCAGCAGACAAGGCCAGAAGAGACAGCAAGCAGCACACAGACACCACAGACTTCATTTTGGCTGCCAGGGACCTGCCGCTCATCTCCCTCAGCTATATATACTGCTCTAGCTGAAGGTCAGAGGGCATGCCAGTGAAGGAAGGGGGGGGGACAGCAGCTGCACCCATGTCGGCCATTGTGTGTCAGAGCAGCTGCCGGTTCTAATCGGGAATGTTGAGAGAAGAGGGAGACTAAGTGATCATGTTGTGCTTTGGTTTGCAGGCTGTATAAAAGCACCTCGGAAAACTGAAAAAGAAAAATTCGGAAGCTTTACATTTTGATGAGACAAGTTTTTTTAAGTCACATTTAAAGTGCAGCAGTAGTGCCTTTCATTTGCTTCATTGCTTTAGCTCAGATTAAAAAACACTTAATGGATTACCATGGGTTTGGGGGCAAAAAGTAAGTGGCCACTTTATTAGGTACAGTCATGGAGCCACGAAGAAACATTCCTCTGGGATTTTGGAAACTTTTGTTTCCGAACATCGCTCTACTGGATTGAGTTCTGGAGACTGTGGTGCACATTTGACTGCAGTGAACTCATTATGATGCCCAAGAAACCAGTTTGACATCATTTGAGCTCTGTGTATGGTGTGTTTTTCCTGTTGGAAGCAGTCATCAGAAGACTGGTACACTGTGGTTAGAAAGGGATGGACACGGTTGGCATTAACAATGATTTAAACAGCACTCATTTGGTATTAAGGCGTCCAAAGTGTGCCAAGAAAATATCCCCACACCATTTTACACCACCACCAGATTGAACTGTTGATAGAAGGCAAGGTGAATCCAGGGTTTCATATTGTTTACACACAAATCCTGACTCTGTCATCCAGCTGATATAGACCTTGAGACTCAGACCAGGAAACATTGTTCCAATTTTCTAATGTCCAATTTTTGTGAAGCTGTTTGTAACTGTAGCCTCGGTTTTCTGTTCTTACATGACAAGAGTGGGATCCAGTGTGGTCTTCTGCTACTGTAGCCCATCTGCTGCTAGGTTCAATGTGTTGTATGATCAGAGATGCTCTTCTGCATACCTTGCTTCTAACAAGTGGCTTTTCAAGTTACTGCTCTTCAAAGCAGTCTGGCCATCTGCACAGAGAACTGACACTCACTGGATTTTGTCCTCTTTGTCAAACTATCCCCTGTAAACCCTGCAGATGGCTGTGTGGCAAAATCGCAGAAATACTGAAATACTCAGACGAGCCAATCTGCCACTAATAACCAACCCCTAAAAGTTGTGTCAAAATTAATATAATTCATTTGAACTTAAACATTCAGAAAAGCCACGCAGATTCACTGACTTCCTTCAAATAAACTACAAAGCTGTTGTACACTATGCATCTTTTAATGGTGCTATAAAGTTATTTTAATAGAATGACTCGTGTTCAAATACTACTGTTATACTACAAATACAAATACGTAGTGGACTGCATTTAAATCTGTCAGAACAAATAGTACACTACAATATTTTATCATTTTTACACGTTGTTGCAGTGCACATGTGTATGTGCCACATCTTCTATCACCAATTTGAACTCTGCGCAGCAGTAATAGTCACTCATTATCACCACCTGGTGGGCAGAAATGGTCGTATGTATGAATAAAAGCAACCAAACAGAGGGAGTGTAATAAAAAAGTACAAATTTTTATTTTTTCGTCTTTACAAAGGCCTGTTTACCCAAGGTTTTTCTTTTTTTATAAACAAAATATAACAGCTTCTCATCGACCTGGACTGATGCAGAACAAAAAACAAAACTTAAAATCACAATATAAAAGGCTTGTCACTTAAAAAATGAAAAGCAAAACAAATTAAAGATTTTAAACTGCGTCACAGCAAAGAGCGTATGGGGAGAAAAACAAAACAAAACAAAACAACCCTTCCTGAAAGCTGATTCAGGCATTAAAGAACAGCAAGTGCTTCATATCAAATATGTCAAATTCCACCAAAAGACAGCAGTGCTGCAACACAATGTACAGAAACATTTGGGTGTAAGAGTTTCTCTGACCAACAACAGCCCAGATTAAAATCAGGCTGTTGTCATATGTCAGAGCAACACCAAACCCTTTAACAAAGTTTCACAAACAAAATATGAAAAATACCCCACGTTTGGCATGAAAATGCTAGTCTAGTCTAACCTGATGCCTGGGAGTGACTAGTGTCCACACATCCTACACAAGACAGTGTCACTGAACGCATCAGTCATGTGTTCATGAAAACCCCCCCCAAAAAAACCAAACAAAAAACAGACCCCGCAAGAAATAAACAAAATGTCATAACAAAAGATTACTTCAGACGAGAGAAAATGCCGATTAGTAATATGCATTCGGTTGGCAACAGAACATACAAGAGATCAAAAGACAGATACAAATCCAAGAAAAGGGAATGTTTACAGCATCAAGTCAGCGTATCAAATTGAGTATGACAGGAGAGAGGCTTGTAGCAGGGGTTTCCAGTCAAATTCCCAAGAAATATGAACAAAGTAACATGAGGTGGACAGACTTGGTGCTTTTTTGAGTCAGACAAATGGAGGGATTGTAGCTGGGTGTTGTATCAATTTTACCAAACAGTGTTTTTGCCCTTTTTGTAGCCAATGTTGATGCCCTGAAAACTGACAATGATCTGATTTATTTGCTCAGTTTTCCCCACCTAAAGCTGCTCATCATGAACTGCCGTGATTAAGAGTTTTCTTCCCAGTTATTTCTGCGTGTGAGCAACCCTGAAAACCCATCCCTGCTCTACACTCTGAGCATGTTCAAAGTGTGTAAATGACAAACAAAAACAAAACTGGATCTATAGGAAATGTGATTAACGGTTACATGAAGGGTTTTGGCCTCAGCTCACTGCTCATCAGCAGAGCACCAGGGTTATCAAAAGAGCACCTTGCAAGTAGAGACTACATTCTTTGACACGAGCTCATCAAGTTTCATACATATACTGTAGGCGCGTGAACACCTATTGACGGTGCATAGAGATCTTCACCTCATGTAGAAATGACACCAACAAATGTAATGAAGATGGAATTGCATAAATACCAAAAAACGTTAGTGCATAGTCACTGAAATTAATAAACCAGGACTAAAAGAGACTTAGATAGTCTTTGGAGGAACACCAGAAGCCTGCATGCAGTGCAAGCATATGAATCATCCAAATCGCATCAGCTAAACTTCACATATTTTCATTTACAATTAAAAAAAGAAGAAAAAAAATCTGATTCAGTCAAATTGTCTGGGAGCGATCATAAATTAACACCAGACATGAACGTTGGTTAATATTTTCGAGCGATAAACCAACATTTGACGGCGGCTGGTTCAAAACTGAAATCAGAATTTGTTTAAAAAAATAAAATAAAATTTAAAAAAAAAAATCCCCTCAGGGACCCCGGTTCCCTGTAAAAACCTGATAAACATCCAATTTGATAAATTCAATTTAAGAAATTGTTCACCTTCCGTATTCAGTAACGCTGACATAAAGTTAACAAAAACATAACCAAAAAGACGACCAAAGTAAATTGATCAAGAGCTTATTTTAAGGGCTTATTTAGACATCAAAAGCATTTTTTCTTTCAAGTAAAATCAGACAATTTCTTTAAGCGAGTATCCTCAAATTAAACTTGTAATTAGGTGAATTTCATTCCAAATTCTGGCATTTCGAAACTGCTTCAGCTGTAGTTTGAGTTTCAGAATTGAGAGCTGCTCGGTTATTGCGATCATACATTCAGCTCTCTGTTACACTGACTCCCATCAGTTTGAAGCACAAGTAATACTGCCGGTGTGCCAGTGACGATGGATTACTGCGACGCGTAAACACAAAATGAAGGGCGGACTGATGCTGATAGCTTTTTTACACTAGAAGACCCTCAAGTTTCATAATAGTCACAGACCGGCTCTGCCATTGAAAGACAGCCTCGAGAGATCCCACAGTGTCTCCTTCTGCACGCTGACCATCCTATGTTTTCAATATTGAGAGATTTTACAGTACAAGACTGACACAGAGCTTAACCATTGGATTTTAGGAGTTTGGATAATGCCAAAGACGACTTTTTTTTTTTCCTTTTTTTTTTCTGTCAAAAAGCAGTCAACCTCCTGGAGGGAATCTTACAGTGAAAAGGTATTTATGTGTGTATGTGTGTGTGTGTGTGTGTGTGTGTGTGAGGGAGGGAGAGTAAAAGAGAGAGAGAGAGTTCATGGGATGGATCAATTCATTGAACTGTCCTCCCC